AACTGTAAAAGCCCTGGCCAGAAGCACAATTGTTATTCATGAAGGGAGGAAATGTAGCTACTCTCCCAGGCCAGGGCAGGGGAGAGTAGGGAAGGACAGAGGAAGGTGGGGCTCCAAAAGAGATTTATGGGGGTTTAGGAGGAATCTGAATCAGCTGGTTACATTTTTAAGTGCATGTTCAATATTTTATCCTTTTTGAAGCATTTACATATAATTAACTCATCATATTCTTCTAATGGCCCCATTGAAGGAAACACCAGGAATAACAATGTGAAACTGAGATGCTGTTTTAGCATTAATTAGTATTAATAACTAATATTACTGAACACATGTGGAGTCAATGCATTAAGCACCTTACTAAATCAGATGTAAACACTCCAAATTGGCCAAAAAAAAGTCCACAAAATTATCCTTTGTTGGGGTGGGGGTTTAGGAAAGATGTCTGAGATTGAACTCAGGGTCTCACACATGTAAGATAAGTGTTTTACCATCAGGTAACATTCTAGCCCAGTTGTCCTTATTTTAAAGAGAAATGAGCATGAGTTAGTAGATAATACCACTGGGATGTCAACCAGGTTTCTCCGAGACCAGAGCCCTAGCTCTTTATCTGTTTTGCTTCTTGGGCCCACCTGGCAGGGTTCTGGTGACCATATGATGTGTTGGAGATTGAACCTAGGTTGACTGTGTGCAAGGCAAGTATACTACCGGCTGTACTATTGCTCTGAGTCCAGAACCCTTTACCTCTGCCTGACTTCTCCACAGTGAACTCTTCCTTTCAACCACCATCTCTCCGGTCTACCTTTAGACTCCTGCCTCTGACTCTGCCTGTTTTATTTAGCCCATACAAAGTATGAGTGCATTCATTTCACCGCTCAGTTGGGCCTGGCTTGTGGCTGCATTGATCAGTAGTCTGTGACACAAATTTTGGTATGTGATTCTAGAGCCTAGACCTCAGGAAGCCAGTATCATCTGCTATGACCCTTCTGCAAAACTTTCTTAAATCAACAGATAAAGAAGCTGGTACAACCCCCCTGGAGGATGAGAGGTCCTGAGGAGAGTGGAGATGCTCCAGTCTTCAGCCAACACTGTTAGAGGAACAAGTCATTGTGAATTACCAAACTCTCCTCCCTCCAGACTGAATGCTGGCACAAGAAGGAGTCCTAGCAAAACCAGAGAATGAATCCGTCAACCTTACAAAAAGTCAAGAGAAATTAGTAAACTGCCATTGTCTTAAGCAACTAAGTTTTGAGATATATTTTTCCCCACAAGAATGTAAAATGGATAATTTTCTATCTCCCAGACTTGATCACTTGACATCCCGTTACTCATTGATTTGCTCGAGCAGGCGCCAGTAACGTCTCTATTAGTCCCTGTCGCGTGCTAGTGTAGCCCAAAGGCATCTGGCTCATTCTAGGAATACAAAGAGCCTCAAATCAATCGGTCAGGGTCTTGATGAAGAAGTCTGACCATCTTGTAGGTGGGCGGCCTCGAGGTCTTTTAATGTCCCATCGAATCCAGTCAGTAATGGCTTTAGTCCAGCGTTCCTCTCCAAATCTCATTACAGCCCATCTGATTTTCGATGCCTTGGCACACAAGACAGCATCCCTGATTCTTGACGGTCGATGGAGGTCAGAACTCCGGATTTTTTTCTCTCATTTGAGTGAAACGTGATACTCCAAGCATAGCTCTTTCAATTCCTCTTTGGGAGACCCAAATAGCGTTCTCATTCTGTTTTTGTAGGGCCCAGTCTCTGAGGTGTATGTTAAGGCCCGCATGGCAGAGCCTGGCAAGCTATCCGTGGCGTATTTGATATGCCCAAATCGGTAAATACAATGGGTCTCTCATCTCCCAGACTATTTGAAAGATCCTAGTATAGTTCTTGGCACACAAATCTCAGCTGTTGTTTTTATTCCTGAGTTTTTCTTCTTTGTAGACACTGTAGATCATCTTTTCATGATTTCTTTTATTGGGAGGTCGGACAGGGTTAGGGACATACCCAGGGGTATTTAGGAACGGTTCCTGACTTTGTGCCAGAAATGACCCCTGGCAATTCTCAGAGATCATGTGTGCTGCAGAGCATCCTAGTGGGTTGATCTCATGCAAGGCAAGAGTCTTAACCCCTGTGTTAACTCTCTAATGTCTCTTTTCCTGATTTCTTCCTTGTAGAAGGAAAGAAAAACTTCTGCTGATTTCCTTAGGAAGCACTTTCTGACATCTATCTCTCCACGTCCACAGGCAAGTTCTGCTCCCACAACTCATTCTTGGATTGTGGGTCTGCTAACATTCACTCCATACATTTTATAGTAATGGCAGCATTTCCAAGCATAAAATCTTAAATTTTCATTTCCTATCCTTTCTCTAGATTTTAATTTTAGACCAAGTGTTAAAAATTCAACCAAGTGACTATATATTACACAGCAAAAGTAATATCAGATGTTTTAAATGTTTCTAATTGAAATACCAAGTAGGTACCAGGGACTATTGCTGAATATAGACTACTTTTGAAAACATATGTTTGAGACCTTCACTAGTGCTCATTAAATTTCTGTACATGAAAGAATTATTATAGGACTCTTATGCTGTTTAGATCGAGTGGCTTTAAGACCTTTTACACATGTGGATAGATATCATGGTACAGAACAACTAGCTGATTTCAAAACTGAGGTTCCCACCAGCCTGAGGATGGGTGTTGGGGGAAGAAAGGAAGGAAGAGGTGGAGTGAAAGTAATACAAGAATAGTGGTGAAGAGTCTTGAATATTCTGGTAGTGGTTTACTATAAATGTGAACACTATGTGACCTAAACTATAATAATAGTTAAAAAATTTCAAGTTGAAATTGTTGGTTGTTAGCATACAGAAATAGAATTATCTCCTGAAACTTTGCTAAGCATAATAGTTTTAGTAACTCTTATATAAATCCATATTTCTAAGTAAATTTTCATGTCAGCTTCAATTAAACACAATTTATATCTTTCCACAAAAAAGAAAAAGAAGAACCTACCAGTTTGAAGATTTAAGTCTTTTCTACCTTGTTAGCAAATTGCTGATCCTACACTTAATGATTTTGACTACATTGTGTCCTCTATCTGATTCTTATAGAAGGAAAGATGATATTATTCTTATAATATTATCTTCATTTATTATTTATTTTCATAGCCCTGCAGTATCTGGCAAATAGATGCTAGGTATTCAATAAACTATAATAGAATGCGTGATTGGATTGAATCAATAACATCACAGGTTTATTTTATTGAAAAAGGCTAATTTCAGGTAAAAATTACAGTAACTTTCTAATTCCATCTTGTTCTATCCTGGTTTCTCCACTTCCTTCAATCTAGTGTTAGGTTAAGTCCTGTGTCCATTCAAGTTTAGCTCAGACACTACCTTCATCAGAAATCATTCCCTGAAATTTCACAGCCTTCATTTCATCAAGGCCCTTGTGATCCTCAACAACTTTCCAAATAATCCTTCTTGAAGAAATGCCTTCTCACTTTTGCTGAATGTGTCTTAGTAAAAGCTTCATTCTAGCACCTGTCTGTAAGCTTCATCATTTATATCTAAGCTTAATCATGCAGATGTTGGTAGATACACATATTTGGTGGTACGGCTACATACATGCATTTATATGCACACACATATCAGTGTCCTTCAAAAGTCTATAAAAAGAACCATGCTGAATTGCAGAAAGCCAGAAAACATTGCTCAAATGTTTCAAATTAGGTCAGAGGAGGTCCCTCCTCACCAGCTATTTTCCTTCAGGAAAAAAATATTAAAACCATCTCAGTTTCCTATCTTAGGAAAGACATCCTCCCTTAGTTTCTCAATCTGTATAAGTGGGTGTTAACATTTAACATAGTAAAAATATTTGAATGGGGCCAGAGCGATAGTACAGTGGGTAGGGCATTTGCCTTGCACAGTGGCCAACCCCAGTTTTATCCCCGGAATCCCATATGGTCCCCCAAGCACTGCCAGGAGTAATTCCTGAGTACAGAGTCAGGAGTAAGCCCTGAGCATCGCTGGGTATGACCTACAAAGCAAAAACAACAACAAAAAGATACTTAAGTGTATTTATCAATTTATCATTATAACACTTTAGGCTATATTAACTGTGCACAGTAAATGCTCATTAAATGTTAATAATTAAAAAAAAAACATGCGGAGTAGAAATGACAATAGATACTTATCTGCCTGAATACTCAAAAACAAAACATATTTATCCATTTTTTGCCAAGACTGTAACCCTGTGAAACAAGCACATAGGGAGCTCCCAGAGGTGGTGAATCTAATATTGGGTCAAGGAGAACCCAACTCACTGCTTAGCCAATCAAACAAAGCTCAGGTCCCACTGCTGGGCTTCTGTAACCTTGGGCTATGGCATATACACTGTAGGAGATAGCAGGGTGGGAGGGGGGAGTTGTTTTTGCATTTAGTTTGCTAATTTGGGGGTAAAATACAGTGTTTCTGATATTCACTGCATTCACTGTTTGTATCCGCTCCCAGATGGGGCACCAGAAGGATTCTACAGCCAATGACCTCATGTTCTAGTGTGTTCTTGATACGCAGGAAAAATCTTAATCATGTCTGGGTGTAAAGAAGAAAGGCTCTTCCCAAAGGCACTTTAAAATATGGCAGTTTTCCATGACTCTGATGCCTTAGTCAAGCATTAGACTGTGACCTGATTAGATTGTTATCTGATTGAGCCCAAGCATTTTCTTTACTGCAGTCAATTACAGACAACTCCATTCACTTTGCAAAGTAAATGTGAGTCACTAGAAAGGCAAAACGCCTCTACTTTGAAAGTACATTTGAAAAATACTCTACTTTCAACCCCTAGAAATAAAACAATGCAATATAATTGAATTTTGTAAAAAACAAAGACACTTCTTTTTATAGACAGTAACTGACATTAAAAACGACTATCGTCAAAGAAAATCTTTTCAAGCAACAGGCTTTCTCTAGGAGTCCCATAAACCACGCTCTATACTCAGTACTTCCCTTACCTCTGTGGTGGTCTGGGAGAAGGGTGGAGTAGTCCAGGGAACCCAAGATGTATCTGGAATTCCAGTCGTCGGTGGAGTGGGGTGATACTTCAGGCTGCTGTTTTGATTGTAGTTTTCGGTGGTCCTTCTCATAAAGATCTCTGTGGTATTTCTAGTCAGCTGAGCCAGGCTATACGGAACCACATGGAATGTGGTGGGGATTTGGGGAGCAGCAGTGTTTCTAATGCTTCTTACTGAAACTTCTGTTCCCAGGCCAGCTGAGGTAAAGAAAGGATAGTGGCTAAGTTACCTTCGGCTTTGGGGATTCTTTATGAAGAAGATGAAGAAGGAGGAGGAGGAAGAAGAGATGACAGTAGAAGGGGAAGGAAGGAAGGAAGGAAGGAAGGAAGGAAGGAAGGAAGGAAGGAAGGAAGGAGCGGAGGGAGGGAGGGAGGGAGGGAGGGAGGGAGGGAAAGGAGGAGGGAAGGAAGAAAACAGTATTTAATAACGTGGTTAGGGAAAAAAGCTTCCAGATATCTAGCATGTAATTATGTGTTTTATAATATCAACCTATATTTATTCTTTTCCACTATGGAGAAGTTGGAAAATTTTCTTCCAAAGATTTTTTGTTTTTGTTTTTATCTTTGGGCCACACCCAATGATAGGGACCATGTAATGCCAGAGATCAAATCTGGGTCTCCTGCATGCAAAGCTTTTGCTCAGCCCATTAACATCCTTCTGGTTCCAAATGCTTTTTAAAAAATTAATCAGCTTCTATAGTTAATTAAATGAATGAAACCAGTCCCACCCCAAATTAGATAAATTTTCAAAAAACTTTTGAAATTACTTAAAGTACTATAGTTTAGCTGGAGTGATAGCACAGTGGGTAGGGCGTTTGCCTTGCATGCGGCCGATATGGCCGACCCAAGTTCAATTCCTCCGCCCCTCTCAGAGAGCTCGGCAAGCTACCGAGAGTATCTCACCCACCCGGCAAAGCCTGGCAAGCTACCTGAGACGTGTTCGATATGCCAAACACAGTAACAACAGTCTCACAATGGAGATGTTACAGTGCTTACAGTGCTAATATAACAATTCAGGTAGATTTGGAATATTTTTTGGATAACATTTGAGTTTGTAATTGTCTTTTTTGTCATTATTTTGGGCCACACCTTGCTGTGCCCAGGGCTCACTTCTTACTCTGTGCTCAGGGATCATTCCTGGTTGGATTGGGGTACCATATGGGATGCCGGGGATTAGAACTCAGGTCAATTGTGTGCAAGGCAAACGCCTTACCCACTGTACTATCGCTCCAGCCCCTATAATTGTCTTTTATGATTAACCTTCTCTCTCTTAAAATATTCCAAGCCAAACAAGTCCATTTTCCACTTTCAGCTCTTTTCCCAGAAAAGAAACCTACCGAATATTCAAGTATGTCTCACTCTCACCCCTCCCCTTCATTTTGTCTGTCTTTTGTTTGTTTGTAAGTCTTAAACTTGTACTATTTTAGAAGCAGGGAAAAGCTTTGGTCTTAACATTCAAATTTCATGAATTTTAAAGCAGTAGATTGCCAATTTTGGTAGACATTGTATCTTGGAACTAATTAGAATATTAAAGCCATTCTGGGGGAGGATGTGGTGTAACTGTGGGTTTTTTTTGTTTGTTTGTTTGTTTTTGTTTTTTGCCCTTTTTTGGGGTCACACCCGGCAATGCACAGGGATTACTCCTGGCTCTGCACTCAGGAATTATTCCTGGTGGTGCTTGGGGGACCATATGGGATGGCGGGAATCGAACCCAGGTTGGCCACGTGCAAGGCAGACGCCCTACCAGCTGTGCTATTGTTCCAGCCCCTGTAACTGTGTTTTATGCATAAAATCTTATCATGAACAATATATTATAAATCATGGTTACTCAAAAAAAAATTTTCAAATGCAAGGTCTATGGACATTTTGATATCTAAAAGTTCTTCCGATATTCTTTTAAGATCTACATGCATTTTACAGTTTATGAAAGAGCAAGCAGTGCTTTGACAAATGCAAGGAAAAGTTCTTACACAATGGAACAATATGTTGAAGTTATTTTTAAAAAGCTTTATTGTACCATTGCTACTACATTGTTTCCACATTATACACAATCCCTCTTAAAACACAATTGAAGACAAGGTGGAACATCCTGGGTCCAATCTAAAAAGCTTTTTTTCATCTGTTTTGCTATGGATGGAACCCAAGACCTCATTCATGCGAAGTATCTGTTGTATTACTGAGTGCATCTTTGGCCAATAGAAAATAATAGCAGTTAATTTGCCAAGACCTCACCTAAAATTTGACTTGCCAATACTGCAACATAGCAGGACCATATTTTGGATAAAATAAAGGTATCGTGTATTTTAGTTATTAGTCTATGATTTGCTCAGCTATAAATACCAGAAATGGAATTTTGTATAATAATAATAATAATAGCACTGTAGCATTGTCCTCCTGTTGTTTATCGATTTGCTCTAGCGGGCACCAGGAATGTCTCCATTGTGAGATTTGTTGTTAATGTTTTTGGCATATTGAATATGCCAGGGGGAGCTTGCCAGGCTTTGCCGTGCAGGTGTGATACTCTCATTAGCTTGCTGGGCTCTCTGAGAGGGGCAGAGGAATCGAACCCGGGTTGGCCATGTGCAAGGCAAACGCCCTATCCGCTGTGCTATATATTACAATAATAATAACAATTAAAAATAGACAGTTTATTATTTTACTGCAGTAACAATACAAATACTTTCAGACAAATTGGAAATTTGAATAAAGTTCACTTTTGGAAATAGAGTATTTTATCTATATTGATACTTTCTTTCTTGAAAGAAAGTGCCAAGTATAATGTGCCTTTTAAAAAATTTTTTCGCTTTTTGGGTCACACCCGGAGATGCACAGGGATTTATTCCTGGCTCTGCACTCAGGAATTATTCCTGGTGGTGCTCAGGGGACCATATGGGATGCCAGGAATCCAACCCAGGTTGGCCTCGTGCAAGGCAAATGCCCTACCCACTGTGCTACTGCTCCAGTCTCCTAATGTGCCTTTTCAAAATTAGAAAACACTCCAGAAAAGAGATAACTAATTAAACAGAAGACACCTTAGGAAAAAACTGATTTTTATATGTGTGTATATATAAATTATATTAATAAGATAGAATTAAAATGAAGGTCAAGAAAAAGAGATGGGAATTAGAGCAATCTAAATAATTGCTAGAAATGGGAAAAATAATAATAAACCTTTTGGAAAACATAATAAATGAAATAAAATGTATGTCAAAATATACATCTCTAAAATTTGAAAAAGTAAATAGGGGAGTGAAAGTTGTAAAAGATACCAAAAACAGAGAATTTGTAAACAATAAGTGACATAATACATACAGAAATATAACTAGAGGTTAATAATTTTTTGCAGAACTTAACAAAGAAAATTATAAAGAAAATAAAAATAATAAATGTGATACCAAGACATTACATAGTATTACATCAAATGTAGCATGCTGAGCAATTTAAATTTAAAAAAATCAAAAATTTAATTAAAAGAAAAGTTTCCAGAACTCAGTTATTACTGAATTACTGTACCAAGGTTTACACTAGAAAGAAATACCTGGATATTTCAGTTACCATATTTTCTTCTCTTTTGGAGATATGTGTGTCTATATACACTCATACATACACACACAGAGTAGAAGTAATGGTAGAGGAGAAGGAAAACATGGTTGATAGAGGAGAAGAAAAATGGCCTAGTCGCTAATGGATGCCAGGCTGAAAAGAGAAATACAGAACCAGGTGCTATATAATCAGAGTTATAAGGGAGCTAGAAAGTACATAAAGCCTTTGTGTGTCTAAGACTCATTTGTCCATTTAGCATACTGGGCATAGTACTGAGTCCGTTACAAAATTGAATCTGATTTTAAAAGGTTCTACACATTAGAAAAGAATGAGAATTTTAGTTCTATAAAAATTTATTAAATTATATTTTCTATTGATGATGAAGTCCACAAAGACATAAGAGCTCAGGATGCATGAAAGTCATATTTGACCCTGGGTGTGCCCTGGTAAGTCAGTACCTAGACATATTACAGGCTAGAAATGGCTGGGGACTCGATGCCATGCTGAAGGTTTTTCAATGATTATATAAATAGTGTATCAGTAATCAATGGCCATACAAACTAAAGATGCTTTCTGTTTTGTTTTCTTTTTCCCTTCAAGTTCCTTAGATTTACAAGAATTTCTACCAGTCACTAAAGCAAACTACTTTTGCTAAAACCTTTTCTTTGAAGAATATATATAATTACTATTTTTAATAAAGTTTAATCTTTTTTTTTGGGTCACACCCGGTGATGCACAGGGGTTATTCCTGGTTCATGCACTTAGGAATTACTCCTGGAAGTGCTCGGGGTACCATATGGGATGCTGGGAATCGAACCCAGGTCAGCCTTCTTCAAGGCAAATGCCACCTGCTATGCTATCGCACAAGCCCCGATAATTACTATTTTTTTAATAACGCTGATGCATTGTATTCTCTTACCAAAATCACTATACTTGAGCAATAACTTTAACCAGCAGATATTTCAAGTCTGCTTACAAAGTGGTTTACCTGAGCCACAAAATCTTCTAGTGATTTCACTAGGTCAGTCATTTTTGGACATTCAAAACAAAGATTGAACTGACTTCAGAAAAACAGGGATGCTGAATCAATGGATCTACAGTAAATGCTGAATAACATTGGTCAACTGACTCCTCGTAACTATGCCTTTGGTTTTTTTCAGTATCAAATATCTGTATGAAATGAACACTGTTAGACAGTCATCTAGTTGTTTATAAGTATTGGCGTGGGACAACTGCATTTTTTGGAAAAGCTACCCAATTAATAGTTGGCATTTTGTATCCTTTACTAGATAGTCCTAGAATTATATGGACATGTTTTATCGGCAGATAAATTTGTATCAATACTGTTGAAGACAGTTTCAAGTTTATAATGTTTTAATTTCCTCCTCTCAAGGATGACTTGCATTGATTTGAAAATAAGTATGTTCTTTGAATAATTTTTTTCCCAAATAGAAAAAGGCATCAAGAAATGAGTTATTTCTCACTTCCTGTGTGCCAGTAAGACCAAAGTCTTGACCTCCTGTCGGGATAGATAAAACTATAGCTTCTAATGTCTGTTTGGATTTAAACTTTATACTTGGAGAACGGGGAGTATAGCTTAGTGGTCAGCCAAGCCTGTATGGGGACCCTAGAACTCTGGCATGGTGTGGGCTCTG